ATGAATCGGGAAAGGGTTCTGTTTACGGACTTGACATTCAGGAAGCTGCTTTACAGAAAACTTCTTCTCTGCTGGAAGAATCGGTCACTCCAAATGAGGTACCTTTGACAAATTGTCTTCTTTTTGAGGAAAGAGAAAGTTTGTGCATTTGTAATTCATGATTCCAAATTTTGTCTTCTGAGGAAATAGAAAGTTGGAGTAGTTGTGTGAGACTTGAGAGGTCACTGTATCAACAAAACTGCATGCGAAGTAATAAAAGGATTGGGCAGCTCGTTTTGGACCCGTTGGGGGAAGGAAATCGGTGGTCTTGATTCCAAAACGAGTGTGGATAAAAAAATTGTGTTCAGTCCATGAGTAATTTATTGTCTAATCATCACTGGTTGAACCTCCATTGCATATTATGTAGGACTAATATTACAGGAAATATAGGCTTTGCCTTGATCTCCCGTTTATTCTTAGTTGTAGAGTCCATTGGAGTGGAGTCAGAGTAGTATCTGATGTACTGTTTTCACCACTGTCTTTATGATTAGTTCTTCTAAATGCACCATATTTGACTGTTGAATAATAAAGAAAATGAATGCGATTGCTCATTAGATTTAAAAAGAGGTTTTAACGGCACTTTATTACGGAGAATTCTGGCTTTCATTGTGTTTCTATGTTTGTGCTTCTGTGTTATGCGTGATTTGTGTACTCAAAGCCTTATCAACATACACATGTTTTCCTTCATAGAGTTATTTATTAGTGTGATTGAAACCAACTATAATGATGTTTATCCGCTTTCATTCCGGACTGGTGGTTGGGACTGGACTGAACTATCTTGTGGTTTTACTTTTGGTTCTTTTTTTTTCTTTTTTTCTTTTTTTGTGGGTAATATTGTGGACGTATGAAAATTCTTCTTAGTTTCAATTATATGTAGAAGGGACTCGTTAAGCTGTTCTCCAAATGCCACAGTAAAATGCATGAAGTTCTACCAAGGAATACATCTGTTAGGTACTCAATTTAACTCAAGATTCTTGATGATCTCATCCCATTCTTTTTGTGTATTGAATCAGAGTGATAACGTGAAACCCAAATGGAATTTAATTTTATGCCAATACCTTTGACCTCTATGTCCCTTTTACATCAGTTCTTCATTAACGAATGCAAAGAAAATCAGTTAAGAAAACAAGAATACATTCAGAAAGCTTAGATGCCTAATATTATGCAATTGCATAAGTCCAGCTTCGAAAAATAGTGTATTGTGGAGGTGTATAATGATTGTTTGTTAGCTAGTTGACAGTTTTGTGATTATTAGTGTCTAAGCTTGGTCACTGTGTTTGCACCGTTCTTTAAATTCAATAAAAGCATTGTTTTTCCTTATATATATATAAAACAGAAGAAGAGAAAATGAAATTAGTGTTTTGGACGGCTGAAAACACAGAATCTTTATTCATATAGATGGCAATATTGTTGACCACATTACTGCAATAGGAAGAACTTGCTTCCTGAAAACTTTGATTAAATGGGTGTTGCCAGGCTTGTCGCTTTCAACCTAGGCTATCTTCCAGGGGGTGACAAATCACTCACCACGCAGTCAGACACAACACTAAAAGCATTGGAAGCTGCAAAAGGTATCCTGATGGATGGAGGGCTTATCAGCTTAGTGGTTTATGTGGGGCATCCTGGTGGATGGTAACACTTCTGCTCTAATATTTTCTTTTTCTTCACTTTGTTTGCTAGTTTGTGCTTCCTGGGTTTTATTTCACTCATTGTGCAGTTTAAGCAAAACCATATTACAATTACAACTGACTGAGTAATTTTCTTGTTAAATACGGGAATAAACATATGAGATTGGATTGTTAGGAACAGCTTTGGTGAATACTGGTAACTCTTAGATGGAGTATTAGAACGAAAAAATCCATAATATAAGATTATGAAGTTCCTCCAAGCTCTGTCTGAAATATATGGTTATTTATTAACAAAACAACAAAAAAAAAGTTCTTTGGCAGCAGAATACTATGTAATGATATGGAAACAAAGTTTTAAACGATTGATATTAGTTGTCCCTTAATGATTTTAATTAAGTGGAAGCATGACTTGGAATTTATTGTGGAATGAAGAGTGAAAGTTGGAAGCTTGAAAGAGAATACAGGTTGAGTTGCGGAAAAAGTGAGGTTTGAGTTTGGGAAACAGATTTTTATACTAATTAGCCTCATCTCTTTAGACTGTCTCGATATCATGATTTTCCCATTGCTGGAATGTGTGCCAATCTGTCCTCCTTCCCTCTTAGATGGGATTCTTGTGTGTCGGAGAAACCTTAATGAGTAGGAATGGAGAGGTCCAGTCTATACTGACAGACCTTGAAACTGGGTGATTGGTTCCAAGTAGAGCTGAGCGCATAAGAGAGTATGGATGTCAGTGGCTTCTCGAATATTTGCCTGCATATCTTTTTCAGATCTGTTGAATAATTGAACCCTTGCTACTGTCACACCTTCCTTTGTAATATGGGAAGCTAAAGAACCTTCTAAGTTGCTAGTTTGGCTAATTGCTCGTGAGAAGATTAATATTTGTGAAATGGTTCAAAGAAGACGGGGGCTTCTGCAAATATGGATCACTTATTGCTTCATTTCCCTGTGCCATATCCTTTATGGTCACGATTACTCAAGGTGACAGGCTTATGCTGGTCCATTCCAGTGTCATGTAATGCTTTGTTGTGTGAGAATTTAGTTTCTTTAGGGGTACGAAAGAAGGGTTTTATGGGCAGAACTGAATAGGAGGGTTTTTGATAATGGGGCGTGCTATCCACACTCTTTTTTACTTCTCTCACACCCCCTTGTTAATTTTTGTCCTTTGATCTTATTCAACTCATCCGATCGGACGGTCGAAAATTAGAAGGGTGTGTGAGAAGTAAAAAGGGTGTGTGGATAGCACACCCCTTGATAATTTGGCTGATGAGGAGTTGGATTGTTTGTGGGATATTCGGATTTTAGGCTTCTCTGTGGGCATCTGCTGCTTCAGATTTCAGAGAGTTGTTTGTTTTTTTCCTGTTATTTATGCTACTGAGGAGTATGTTATTTTTAGGATTGTCTATGATTTTGTTCGTAACTTCTTTAGGATTGTCTATGATTTTGTTCGTAACTTCTTTAGCTTAATACTGGCAGTTGTGTTCTTCTCGTCGACTCGTATGTTTTAGACTTCTGTTTTCCTTATGGAAATTCAGGGAAGAACTGAAGACCGTCCAAGATTTCATCTCCAAATTACCGGTTGAGATGTGGATCTGCTCCGAGTTTCAGACGGTAAACCGATCATGGTCTCCAGTTCTTGTTTTCATATTCAAGAGATGTTGAATCGGCCAGTTGCTCCAATATTCATGTCTTATTCAAAGGATGAAATCTTGTAGCACGAAAATCTCTGTTACTGTCAAGATAACAGCAAGAAATTCATATACATAATCCTTTGTTAACGGTCAAGGTCATGCTTCTCGTGCTCAGTTATTGTCCGCATAGACGCTTCTCTGCGCAGCGTTGAAACCTGTTGCGAGTTCAAATTCTTTTTCCTCTTTGATTAAAAATAGAAGAAAAAAACAATTTGTTTATTTTTGGGAAACAAAATAATTCTCCCTGGACAAACTACAAGTAGGAATGGGCAAATACCCATTGGTTATGGGTAACCACGGTTACCCGTCCATTTAAATTAAATGATTATGGTTATGGATAACCGTTTAGATAAATAAACGGTTATGGATATAACTGTTTACCCGCGAAGTGTAAATGAGCGGTTATGGGTATTAACCGTGGTTATAAACGGGTAACTGTTTACTCATTTATTTTATATATGTAAAATTAACACAAAATATGTTCTCTATTGGACAAAACTTAGATCAATGCTATTGACTATAATGTGATTTATATAGCGGTGTTGTAATTAATTAAAAAGTAATAAACGATAATCCTTACAGTATTTTTATCCTTAAATTGAATAAATCAAAAGAAATTTAAGTGAGAAAAATAAACGGGAGCGCACTGAAATCATTTCCCTTGCAATATGCATGCATTAGATTTGTTTATGTGTTTACTGTAGCTATCTGTTGATCTTGGATCGAACAAACTGGAAATCGAACATTCTTACGGGGCTATTGATCCCTTACATTTTCTTTACCCTTCCTTCAATATTGTTCAACATCTTTAGGTTATTTTCTACACATAGTTACCGTACAAGTTATATATTTCCTGTTGTCCATGTTTTTTATTTGTTCTATTCCCTAAAAATCTTTATTTTTCTATGGGAGAGATTGGAAAATGGATTGCTCTCGTTACGTTGGCATATAAATAATCCACCTAACAGTGCCCCGCCGTTGTGTCTTTGCCGATAATTATTTCAATTATTGAAATGGTATAAGGACTTAAAAACTTAAAATACGGAAATAGATGATGAATGTACCTATAACAGTATTTAATTGTCAAAAAAAAATTATAACAATTTTTTTTTTTAAATTTTCAAGTTGTTAAAAAACATGTGGACGAGTGAAAAATGGGTAATGGTAAAAAAAAGGTCGTACCCAGTGCACAAGGCTCCCGCTTTACGCAGGGTCTGGGAGAGGTGAATGTCGGCTAGCCTTACCCCCATTTATGGAGAGGCTGCTCCCAAGTCTCGAACCCGAGACCTACCGCTCATGGGCGAAGGCACTTGTCATCGCACCAAGTGCGACCTCGGGTAATGGTAAAAAAAAAAAAAAAGAAAAAGAAAAGATAAACGGGTTAAAAATGGTAAATGGGTGAACAGCTATTAAACGGTTACAGTTAAATGGATATGCGGTTATAGGTATGGTTAACCGTTTATAAATGGTTATGGGTATGGGTATAACCGTTTAGGCAATTATCCAATAGGTAAACGGTTATGGGGTATGAGCATAAACGGTTATGGATAAATAACCGCGGTTACTCGCCCGCCATTACCGTTGCCCATCCCTAACTACAAGTAGTAGCTTGGGGCCCAATCTCCACACAAAAGACATTGTCCAGTTACCTAAATAACTTATAACACCAAGTATCAAAGGAATAAGACCCTTATAGACACAGGCAAGAAAAAATTCGACATCAAAATCATTCAAATGCACCGGTTGGGTGGAATTGGTACATTTGTATATTTAGCTGAGATTTGCAGTTCCAAAACTTTCAGCACTTACTCATGCACTATTACCATCTGACCACATTGCAATCTACCACAGCCGAGTTTCTCTTCGCCACCGAAGGACAAAATCTGAGATTCCAGAAACAGGAGGAGAAAAGCATATCAGAAGCAACAAAATGGGAGAGGGACGGAGGAAGAGAGAAGACAGGTAGTGAGAACTTATGATAAATTCCGCATTCAGAAGCACAAAAGTATATCAGTCTGCCCTCTGTGTTCTTCGATTTCAGGACTTTTATATGGTAGCACATCCCAGTACATTTAATTTTGCTAAGCTCTCGGGTTAAAATAATAGTTCTTCGTACCACCCACTGTACAAATTTTAATGGAAAATAGGTCAGGGGGAAAAAATTATTTACATGATCATTCTGTATGTGCTAATCCTAGAACACTGGTCTATAAAAGTGAATTAATTCTTTATAAAAGCTTTCGGATGATATCAGAAATACTTGAGTCTTTTATGTTTAATTTTTGGTAAGATACAGGAGAAGGAGAGATGAATTGAGGAGGAAGGATGGTGAGAGAGAAGTAGAAGAAATGTATATGGAATGGTACACAAAAGGAAACCAAAAACCAAAAACTAAAAACAAATTTAAGTTGTTTTCACCCTCCTCCCACCCGTTCCAAGTGGTAATCCAAAAAGCAACATCATCTCTTATATTTTCCTTCATTTTTTCTCCCTCCTCCCACCCTTTCAGAGTGGTAATCCAAAAAAACACATCAGCTCTTATATTTCCTAAATCTCTCTCCACAAAAATCCCAACATCTCACACAACTAGAATTACAATACTCTAAACATTAGATAGAGGGATTTGTAATCACTAGATGTAATGCACTTTGAGGGCTTTGTAAATTACTACTTGAAATAAGTCATTTGAGAATCCTTTGTTTAGTGGTATGTAGAGCTCTATCAAGAAGACGTGTGACAAATATAAGCTTATGTATATATATTACGTATAGAAATAATGAATTAAACAATCTGAGTGCCAGGTGCATTGGAAAAATGAATAAGATTGTATCATGGTAATGCATATACGAGACAAATTCAATATCTTGATGTAAAGAACGGATTATATTGAATAAGGACATGTGTGTGTTAGACAATGACACTGTAAAAGTGAAATGTGTTGCTCACACATTAGTTCATTTTTTCTCTCTAGATGATATTTATTGATAGAATGAACTGTTATAGCAGACTGCACTTTATAGTATTTCAAAATTATCCGAATTGTCATAGTTATGTATCGGACATGTAGAATGAAGTTTATAAAATTTTATACTTTGAGAAATGTGCAGGCAAGAAAAATCAGAAAATTAAAGACCTCATCCTCAACAAGTACCGCCCAACCTCCCCATACCCCCAATGGGAAACAAGGAACGGATCATGAACTTGTTTCTGTCATATGGAAAGGTACAAGCAATTACCTATCAGCTTAGCCATTTGAAACAGATGCTCTTTGACAACTGAAATACCCGGTTTCTTCCAAGAATTTATAGAAGTTAGACAGAGTTGCTGAATCATTGCTTGTGTCTCTCGTAACCAACCACTCCTCTCGAAGTTTAACATCAACATCCCTGCAGAAAAGTGTGACTGAGGAATATCAACAACTATGGACTACTATAGAGCAAGGTAATAAGATAACTCTGAATAACAAAATTATCCCTGGAATTTACTGATAAAAGAAAATTAACACCGCAAGCATATTAATTACCTCCTAAGGGAAAGAATCTCGTGGTTCCTCCTTAGGTAATCAGCATGTTTTGTTAGAGCATCTTGAGCATACTGTCTGCCCACAGTTCTGACTGCAGCTGTGTTTAGTAGATTTTCCAATGAACCATGCTTTTTCAAGAGCTTTAGGGCAGTCTTCTGACCAAATCCAGGAGCTAGATGTTGGATTCCAGGAACACCATCAGCGTGATTACCCACAAAGCACCCTAGACATTAAGTTAACAGAATTACAAAACGTGTTCTGGAAGTGAATAAATATTATATTAAGAGGGGTTTATCACACAGGAATGCGGCCTAGTGAAACCACTCTGGGATCTTAGAAGAAATGTAAACAAACTGACAAATTAAGAAGAAATGATCAGTCTCTGAAAGAACTCCAATTTAGTTTTTTGCTGCCTAAAAACTGTTAACTGTATGGCAGATAACTCTTATTTAAACCCATTATGTGTGTGTTGGAATTTGATCAAATGCTTCACAAAACATTGCAGTACAGTTGCTGTCCAAATTCTCATCCGTGAATAATTATCTGAATATGTCAGTGTTCACTCTAAATGACATCCTAGCAAAATTAATGAGTATTTTTAATTAAGCCCTAAAAACTATAGACTACATGAATCAATAAGTCTTATATAACAGTGAACAGTCACAGATATAGCATTATGAAGAAAACTGTCGAGGATAAGATACATCAACATCATAACTGGCTCTGGAAACAAAACTAGAAAACATTTATCATAAAAAATATGTCAAATTAGAGTCATATTGCTAGCACTAATATAGTTAATTGAAATATGAAATCACCACATTACAATTATACTTACTAAGGCTCAAATCACAGCATGGATCACAGTTATACTGAGCTATGTAGTGCTTAAGAGTGTAAAACGACCAGCGTTCTAACTCGTCCAGGGGCATAACAAGCTGGACATCTTCCGAAAGCAATTGCTTAAAATCTTTATCAGGAGAGGCAATCACCACCCAATATCCTGTTTGAATAACTTGCCCCACAAGTGTAGCTATAACATCATCAGTTTCGTGATGTTCTACTTTTATGACCTGCACCACTTTATGTTCAAAATAACGCAAAGCAGAAAACCAAAATATTTGAATTTTATCATCTACAGGCCTTTATGAGAGATTTCATGTTTTAAGCTTCAATTCCACTAGCTTCAGGCATGGCTTAAAGAATCCAATATGATAGGAAGTATCCAGACTAATAAAAAATTATGTATAAATTCAAAACTTATAAGGAAACAATTTTTAAATAGAGAGCAAACTGGTTATTGAATTTTTATTTCAAACAAGTAGATCCTTGCCTGTTCATAAATACAGGTAATCATGTTTATATTGGAATGATCAATTTCAAATACCAAGGCAGCAGCAGTAAAATAGGAAAGAAACAGATCTTCATTCCTATCAAACTCTCATTGCTATTTTGACATATTATAGCCGTTTTATTGTTTCTACTCCTTCCCAGGTCTTTTAGAAAATAAAAATAAGAAACAAAAGGTAGAGGGGTTCAACCTGGAGAGTCTATCAAATAGATGTCAGTCTTTGGTGCACAGGATATAAAAGCATATCTAATGCATGAAAAGTAGCCTTGAAAAGAGTGTTATTTAGCCTCAAATGACACTTCTAATGGGACATATCTAGCGTAGGCTAAAATAGTCCAGGGCTCTTGAAGGGGCTAGTTTATTCCTGGCTCTTGCCCAAGGCTCTTGAAGGGTCAACTTACGAAGAAATTGGTAGCCAATGAAAACTAGCCACCTAACACTTTTTTGCCCCTAACCTATAGAGTTTGAGAGTGCCCTTGCCCTTTCCACTAAACTTTCTCCAATTGACCAAATATGATAGGATAGGATTACATTAGACTGGTATCGATTAGATCCTGTATCTTGTATTATGTGTAGCATCAGATATGAGCTTCAAGTAGGAATGGGTTTGACAAAAGATAAATAAGAGTTTATTTACCAAAAAAAAAAAAAAAACTATTTATTTAGACTTCATTGAAAATATGATTATGATAAAGGTAAGAATGGATGTTGGAAGAATATAATAAGTAGGTATTGTGGTAAGTGGTGGCAAGTGGCAACAGAAGCAACAATGATCATATAACCATAGTGGTGATAGTGGGGAAAACAGCATCAGTGTAGGTGGTGTGCTAATTCCTTGGTCGGGCTAATGTCTTGGTGGCAGCAATAAAGAACACAGGTGATAACTGTAGTGTGTTGACAATGAAAATGATGGTAGTATTGGTAGTGACAGTGCTAGTAATAATGTAGTTTGTACGGTCCATTTCTTTCTTTACTCTGTTAGAATTTTTTGTTGCTTCATTATAAACATCATGTTAATGTTTGCGTACTCGGTAGTTGCCCCTCATTGTTCTATTAACAAATTATTACTTATTAAAAAGTTAGTTTTGATTAATGCTTCTAGCTCTATAATCAGATTCATATTTGCTCTAAAGATAATATTACAACCTAATGTAATGATACCAAAATAGAGGCTAACTCTCAGGCACATTGCATTTTTGAAGAACATTGGTGATGACTCCATGTGACCTTCCAGCATGCCCCCTTGGAAACTGTCTTGTGAATTTCCACCTATGTGCTTTATAGGATGGTAATAACTGTCCGCGGTGCTCACTTACTCCTTCCCCATCAACAACCTGCAAGTGCAGAATTTAGAAAAAGTAGATATATTTACCGTTACCAAGATTAACCATCATGATACAACATTAGTTAATTGTAATTTCAAAGTCAAGATGATCAAATTCCAAGAATCATGGAAGAATAATTAGCTTTGTAGGGAGTCTACAAGGTCCAATGACTTATCGAGTTAAACAATGGCGGGCCACTAACCACGTAGAAATCATAAACTGCATCTTAACCCTTCAAGAGGGTAATCAAACTTCCCTATAAGCATCACAAAAAATGGTCAGGTGTGGAGCTACATAGTGCCTCCTGTCAAATATATTTTGCCAAGCTAGCTATCAATCTTTCCCTAACAATTTAATTTGTGGAACCTTTGAGGAAAGATTAAACATTATGTCAAGAGAAAGAGGAAAAACCCAGTGAAGCATTTCATCGAACACATGGTGCCAAAATGGGTAAAGTGGACTTACAGCAATAACAGGGTCGGATAGGCTAACTTGATTGAAAAATAAGGAGACCCAATGAGCAAAAGCGTGTAAGCTGGGTCTGCTTCCCGCATAAGAGAGGATTGACGTCTAAAAAGAAGACCCTTTTCTTGCTTGCCTTGTTTGGCAACACTATTTGTCCATCATCAACCGGTTGTTTACCCACAAGTGCCAGCGGAAGAAGAAGAAGAAGAAGAAGAAGAAGCTGCAACTCCACGAATCTTGCATGCTTTTGTATTTGTTGACACTATATTACGACGAATTGGAAGATGTGGGCTTACAGAAAGAAGGGGTCTGATATGAACGCGGGTGGGAACTGCAACTTCTACCATTTCCAATAAATTTGATGTTGCAACTCGTCTTTAGAAGCCGGATATTAATCCAGATACAACAAATTAAACTAAATTATGTTATAAACCACCACGTGGTGCCCAAGTAGTTGGGTTCGTATTTCGTACGGCACATCGTGTGTTTCATTCTTCCGTGTTATTGAATTTGCTTAACTGTCGTCACAAACAGGATGAAATTCTCTATTGCCTCTTCGGGCTCGAAAAAGGTAGATAACATGGTTTGCCACAAGCTGTTCCTTTAAAAAAATAAAAAAAAAAGGTGAAAGCGAACGGAAATGCACTCATCAAACATATAAGATAGTCTGACAAAGTGAAGGAGGTGTGGATTCAAATTATGTTGTTTCCCCCTTTGCATTTTCCCCATATTGTTTATTTAATTAAACTTCAAGCTGCTGTGTTTGTTTGATTGTGGTCACGGGCAGTGTGAAATTCCTCATAGTTTCTCCGGGCTTGTAAATTGTAAATAACCGTAGTTTGTCACCAGTTGTCTCATTTTAAAGAAAAGAAATTGAAATTTTGGATCTTGAATTGTGAAATTAAGAAAAATGGTGTTCTGTTGAGATGGTAGGACTACATGAAACTTCTTCTGCTAGGTTTTCTTATTGATGGTTGAGGTCCTTCATGGTGGATTTGGTGGTAGTAAGATGGTTTCACAATTTTCTCCAATGATGGTAGAAAAATTAGTGAAGGAGAGATTGTGGTGGTTGGCGGTTGGCCGTGGTGTTGATCGGCTTGTGGTGGTGAGGGAGAGGCGTGATGATGGTTAGTGGGTTCATGGAATTGATCGTTACCGATCACACTCTCATATACATTTAACAATTTAACTCATTAACATTATCGTTTGTCATATTCTCTTTCATATTTTAGTATTTTTTGGTGCTAAACTTAACCTGATTCTTTTTCCTCGATTCTCTTTAGCGGAAGACTGATTTTGTTGAATATAGGTGACCTATGGTCTTTGGGTAGAGATGAACTTAGTTATCATAAATAATTGAGAAAATCTAAACGAAATAATGGAACTAAATTTCAGGATGACATTGTCGATTTTGAATTTGAAGTTCAAAAATGAGGATTTTGATCAATTTCAAGGACTAGTGATGTAAAAACATTAAAGCTTATAGAAACGAAGCAAACCGAAGGCACATCGCCACCATCGACACTGGTAAAGTAGTTGGAAGTTGGAACGCCCGCCATCGTTTCGATGCACTCGAGAAACGCACACCCCCAAATGCGATGAAGATATCAACTACGAAATCGAAATAAACCCACAAAACAAAACCTACCCATCGAATCCACAGACCCTCTGGATTCTCATCCTTCCTTCCTTCCTTCCTTCCTTCTTCTACACAAACCCCCTCATTCTCTCTCTCTCTGACCGCCCACTCCAATGGCTCACCTTCTCAACACCTCCTTCATCCCCACCTCCCAACCCCTCCGCCGTAACCCCACCTCCTCTGCGCCGGCACTCATTTCCGGGCGCCGGGGCAGGGCCCAAGTCCAGGCCAAGATCCGGGAGATCTTCATGCCGGCTCTCAGCTCCACCATGACTGAGGGCAAGATCGTCTCCTGGGTCAAGTCCGAGGGCGACAAGCTCTCCAAGGGCGAGAGCGTCGTCGTCGTCGAGTCCGATAAGGCTGACATGGACGTCGAGACCTTCTACGACGGTTACTTGGCTTCTATTATGGTCGAGGAGGGCGGCGTCGCAGCCGTCGGTTCGGCTATTGCTCTATTGGCCGAAACCGAGGACGAGATTGCCGAGGCCAAGACCAAGGCCAATTCTTCATCAGCAGCTCCAGCTCCAGCGGCACCAGCACCGCCCGCAACTGCTCCGGAGCCACAGCCGGAGAAAATTCCAGATAATGCGGGTCCCGCGGTGGTCCCTAAGGCTGCGGCAACCGTGGCTTCAACCCACCCGGCGTCAGAGGGAGGGAAGAGAATCGTGGCATCGCCGTATGCAAAGAAGCTTGCTAAGGACTTGAAGGTGGACTTGGGGTCAGTGGTGGGAAGTGGACCGCTGGGGAGGATTGTGGCTAAGGATGTTGAAGCTTTTGCTACTCAGCCGACGGTGGCGGTGGCTGCTGAACCGAGTGTTGGAAAGTCAGCCGCTGCTGTGGCAGCGGAGGCAGGAATTGAGTTGGGATCGGTGGTGCCTTTTACAACAATGCAGGGGGCAGTGAGTAGGAACATGCTTGAGAGTCTCTCTGTGCCCACTTTCAGAGTAGGATACACTATCACCACTGACGCGCTGGATGCCCTGTACAAAAAGGTAACTTCAAATTTTCGAGAAATATGCTTTCGGTATCATTTCACATTTTGCAAGAACAATGCTGAATTCTTATTTGGGTATCAAATTCAAATTCATTATTCATTTATCCGCAGCACCGAAAAGTTGCTTTTTAGGTAATTTCAATTCAACAATTTGGGTTGCTTAACCTGAGAATCCATAGTTTGTGTCATCAAAATTGAGTCTCTGACTTGATAATTTGGCATTGTCCTAAAATCATAAAACGATTTCTTTTTCCATTTAAATGAAGAATATTGTAGTCTATAGTATGCGCTTGCTTCGTTAATAAGGTAGCATTTTATTCCCCACGTGAATGTGGCTTACTGGTCGAGAATTCTGAATCAGGACAGTAGATGTTGTAACGAGTAGATGTTATGATTTATTTTTTCTAGATCAAGTCGAAGGGAGTGACCATGACAGCATTGCTTGCAAAGGCTACTGCACTTGCATTGGTCAAACATCCTGTTGTGAACTCTGGCTGTAGAGATGGTAAGAGCTTTACATACAACAGCAGCATTAACATAGCGGTTGCTGTGGCAATCGACGGTGGATTGATTACGCCAGTGCTTCAGGATGCGGACAAGGTTTGTGCCCTTTTGTTTTCCATGCTTTATAGTAGTGGTTTCTTTTGTTTTGGGACGGTGGTTGGTGGTTCTGAGGCTCGAAGTTTTAATGGTTCAGGTTGACATATATACATTGTCAAGAAAGTGGAAGGAGTTAGTTGATAAGGCCAGGGCCAAGCAGCTACAACCTCATGAGTACAATACAGGTACTATTATTACTTGCCTAAATGCTTAGTAACCACACAACATGTTGAGCAGAGAGGGCATGAGAGTGTTTGGTATATGTTCTAATACATTGTCATGCAGAATGAAATGTGAAAATAGACGACCTTTGCATGTGAAGTTTTTAAAACTTGTATAAAATGCTTCAAAATTCATGATTATTCTTATCAATTTTAATAACTACTTTTTCGATCCAATACGAAAAAGTATGTTACTAAATTTGAAAGAAATAATCATATTGATCAAAAAGTAGTAACTAGATTTTTCGATCAATACGAAAAAGTATGTTCATTTGGAGAAAAAACAGGGATTTATGTGCACTGACATTCTCTATGAACTTTTAATTATTTAGCTGAAGCTTGACAATTAATAGTTCAAATAATAGTTCAATTTATGCTTTATTGCGGTATGAAATTAAACACCAAAGCTGAATAATAGAATGAGAACAAGGTGATCATTGATCAGGCAGCCAGCGTCTGTTTTCCTCAAGCAACAATGCCTAAATAATTTGGTTGCCTATGCTCAGAGTTCTCATGTTCCCCATAACATGTACATAATTTAGTTGTCAGTTGGGTTCATTTTGTTTTCAAATAAGTACCATTTGAAAGTGTAATCCGGGCCAATATTTCAAAGCTTGGCAGAGGCTTCTCTTCTGTAACTGTGGAAAAGGCTGTGGCTAAATTCTTTTTTGTAATTGTAAATTGAGCGACTTTCCCTCTTCTGCTTTCCGTAAAACATGGTTTATATGAACACCAATCACAAGATATTACAACTTTCTGTACTGCGTGTAAAGTGCTTTACAAACAGGAAATGCTGGTTTGCTAAGTTGATTTGTTTCAGTGCTTCAACTCAATCTTGGCTCCTTGTCACAACTCTTGTTTGACTCTAAGATTGACCAAAAGCTTTAGCCATGCCATTAGAATTTTGTGTTGTATTGTCCTTCCTTTTTGTTCAGATCACCAATACAGTCAGAATGCATATTAGAGCAACAGTGTCTAGAATTTTATTAATGATGCAGTTTACAGTGCCTGTTCTCTCTGTCACCTTTGGACTGTGGCGCATTCGAAGGGTCTGGCCCTTATTTTTTAGCCTGCCTTATCATTAGGCTCACAGAACCTTACTGTGGTCGAGTACCTGAGTAGTATCTGTCTCTATTCTTATGCAATTCAGGGTTTCTGCCATTTTTCCTCCTAATTTTATTTTTTGAGTTTTGGTATATGTACTTTAATTGATGATTTCTGGGTTAGAATATTCTTATGATCCTAGATTTGGATTCTTCATGAGAGAAATAGTGGCATAATCGCTAATATTTATGCTAAGTGAAGGCAGTACAGAGCTTCTGAAGATTGCAGCCCTTGTTTTACAGTCTTTTACTGAAAATTTGACATTCAAAGTGCTCCATTTTTGTCTGATTTAAATGACTACCGTTTGCTGTTTTGTAGGTACATTCACTGTTTCTAATCTTGGGATGTTTGGTGTTGATCGGTTTGATGCTATTCTGCCACCTGGAACTGTAAGCGATTCATTTCATGTTTTTCTCATTCTTTATTTTCTGTTAGAGAGTGAAGGTGCATGTTTTATGCTGGTGGTTATTAATAATTGTGCGTTTCTGATTTCAACTTCTATAGGGTGCAATTATGGCTGTCGGATCATCTCAGCCAACTGTTGTGGCTACTAAGGATGGTCGTATTGGTAGGAAGAACCAAATGCAGGTAAGAAATAACGAAATATATACTTATTGGTGTGATACATAGAATGAAACTACAAATTCTAATTCTTGGAACATGCAATTATTTACAGGTAAATGTTACTGCTGACCACCGCATAATTTATGGAGCTGATCTTGCTTCATTCTTGCAAACCTTGGCCAAGATTATTGAGGACCCCAAAGATCTTACCTTCTAGTCTCTACATGCCTTGTCCCCAATTGATTCCAGCTTGGCTTTCAGAATGTCTGCGATTTGATCTTGTCAGGCATGCTTCTACTGTTGCTTATCTTTTAGGTTTGACGGGAGGCTGGCTCAATTTTACGAAGAATAGGAAAATAATTTTGAATATAAATGCATAATGAGTTTTAGTTCTAGTTCGTCAAAGGTTCTGTCATAAAATCTTGCTGGCCGTTGTTTTTTTTTTTTTTTTTCGATCCTTTTCTTTTTTTTTAGGGTTGACTATTGCACGAAATTCGTTGTTGAGGTTGTAGCATATGGGTTGAGTGAAATCAAATTTGTAACTTTAAGCGTATTCATGACACAGAAGTATTGCTACTGAAATCCATTTCGAAAATGTTTTAGCTATTTTCAATAAATATTGCACTTGGCGCTCTGTTGGAAGCAGTAGTACAAGCAAGCATTGTTTTTTATGCAGGAAATTGCTGTTGTGCCAAGCTTTGGCTATCTTGTATAAGTGGTAAAGCTCAAAGACAATCTAGTTCAGTATGTAAATTTTCTACATTTTACATTACTTCTTATAGTTGCTCTATCTTCTATGGCAAGATAAGCTTTAACTACACAAACATCGAACCACTGATATTCTACTCGTAGGAACTGACCAAAACTTCGGGTTCATCCCACTTATGCATGGAACTAGTATTTAACATCGAGTTTGAATCATGCCGTGTTACTTTATCTTGCATTGAGGAGCATTCTAAGCACACTCTTCATTCTTGGCCTTGCTTCCGGTGATACACTAACACAAGCGAGAGCAATTTTCAGGACTGCAAGCATCTGGCTTCGGACGGCAATTGATGTTCTGCTGATACTATAATCAAGAATGTGATCCCTTTTATCTTGCTGCGCTGAGTTACTCAAGACCCACTTGGCCAACTCAATGCCCTCGCTAACTGCTGGCTTTCCCGTCAGCAACTCCAGCAGAATGACCCCGAAGCTATAGATATTGCCGGCCATTGTTACCCTCATAGTGTATGCATACTCTGCCACAGAACAGAGACAAGATATAGACATAATTGCTTTAAATCCAGCAAGTTACTGAAGAAATCACAGAATTGCTTACCTGGAGGAATGTAGCCAACAGAACCAGCAATAGTAGAAAGGCTTCCGGTGCTCTTTGACGGATCAGTCACCTTCAAGAGCTCAGCTTCTCCAATCAAAGGCTCCTTGAGGGACTTG